TTTACTAATTTCATTTAATTTTAAGAAACTTATTTTATATTAATATTAAGAGTTCTTGATTTTTTCTTATTATTTTTTTTGTTAATATTTTTGGAAGAAAAATAATTTTTTTAATTTCATTTAATTTTTAGCCACTTATTTTATTTTTTCTCTTTTTCTAATTTAATGATTTTCATTAGATAATTCAATTTTCTTACAATTTGTTGACTATATTATTTCAAAAAGAAAAATATTTGGCTAAATTTCATTCAATTGTTATTTTATTTTTTTTATTACGTTTTTACCTTTTTTATTTTTATTATTTATTTCTTTAAATTTTTAGTTTTTGTTGTTTCAAAAAGAAATCAATATTGTTTAATTTCCTTTATTTTTTAGAAAACTTATTGCCATAACACAAATAGAATAACGATAAGACCTCTCCTTCAATTGCTCTTTCCAAAGACAGAGAAGGGTATTGGCAATGTCTTACGAAATGCTTTCCAAAGACTGTAGTGAGTTGAAAGACATTTGCCAGCATTGCCCTGTAAATGCCTATTTCAGTGAGTATTTGTTGAAAATCTCATTACGCTCTGTTTTCTTTTATCGCAGTGCAGTAAGGCGTTGCCTAATTTCCTTACACAAAACCTAAATTACATACTCGTATATTTTTTTACTGCACCAGTGTCAACACTAATAAGCCACCGAACTAAGTAAGTACGTTGTGGTCATGCACAAAAGTCTCTAACAAAGCTTTAGCTTTACTTTCGTAACAAAGTCACGTGCACATGCGCAATGACCATTTGGGGCGCAGCACTTTTGTTTATAATTCCAAAGCAAACCGAGGCGGAAACTCCTCTTAATACAAGTAGGTAGCCAAGGACTAATGCACCAACTCTTCAGATAAGCTTGTAAATATGTTTTAGCGAATGTATGCACTTAAATTTATCTACTTAGTATACATATGTACATATGTAACTCTATGTGGGGCACTTTTGTACTTCGCTTAACAGATTTGTATTCTTGTAAGCTCTTTTGGGTATTACATATATTCATGTACACACTTGTATGTATCGATGTGTATTTGGCGTTGCGAAACACTCAAATGACCACAATATGGAATGTAGCCACTTAGACAATTCAAGTACGAAACGAATATGTACTTAGTTAAGTTGCTACTTTTGAAAGGCACTGTGTTGACAAGTGCACGTGCATATATACTATGTATATGAGTATATGTACACACATATATATGTAGGAATGTGCATTTCTCCGCCATTATCGTCAAGTTAACGAAGCAGATACATACATATGTACTTATGTGTATTTGCAAGTAAGTAGTATTGTATCGAAACAAGCTGGATTAGTTGGTTTGCAAGTTAGTTGGAAAAGCTCTTATGCACCAATAGAGCTGAAGGGGGCAGAAGTGCCAAACACTTGAGTAAGTAACCAGATATCCGCTTCAAATGCATATCCTTATATACTTGTACATGCTGTAATTGCAGCTGTGTGAGTGTGTACCTATGTATATAACGGGTGATTTTTTAAGAGCTTGATAACTTTTTTTTTAAAAAAAAACGCATAAAATTTGCAAAATCTCATCGGTTCTTTATTTGAAACGTTAGATTGGTCCATGACATTTACTTTTTGAAGATAATTTCATTTAAATGTTGACCGCGGCTGCGTCTTAGGTGGTCCATTCGGAAAGTCCAATTTTGGGCAACTTTTTCGAGCATTTCGGCCGGAATAGCCCGAATTTCTTCGGAAATGTTGTCTTCCAAAGCTGGAATAGTTGCTGGCTTATTTCTGTAGACTTTAGACTTGACGTAGCCCCACAAAAAATAGTCTAAAGGCGTCAAATCGCATGATCTTGGTGGCCAACTTACCGGTCCATTTCTTGAGATGAATTGTTCTCCGAAGTTTTCCCTCAAAATGGCCATAGAATCGCGAGCTGTGTGGCATGTAGCGCCATCTTGTTGAAACCACATGTCAACCAAGTTCAGTTCTTCCATTTTTGGCAACAAAAAGTTTGTTAGCATCGAACGATAGCGATCGCCATTCACCGTAACGTTGCGTCCAACAGCATCTTTGAAAAAATACGGTCCAATGATTCCACCAGCGTACAAACCACACCAAACAGTGCATTTTTCGNGCGGGTATTTGGATGTGATGCGTCGTTCAAAAAGATTAAGAATAAAATCATCGCTTGACAAAATTTACGAAATTGTAAAACTAAAATAACTATAACTGAGTCGCGTAGGTAATGAAATAATTGATCATAAATACTAGACAAAGAAGGCAATTTAAGGCAACAATGAGAACAGGAAATACCTTTTCAACGATATACTCGTACCATATGTACACTTCGGAATCGGATTAGAAGTAAAAAAAGTTATGAAGAAAGCTTTGGGCTAGCAGTTTTTATCCCTCTCTTAGCAAGGTTTTAAACTAGAGAGGTACATAACTAAATTTTGTTTTTGCGAATCCAAATCAACAATTTTTTAGAATTTTTATCTGTCTGTCTGTCACTCTATCTGTTTAACTGTATGTTTGTATGCGTATCACTCGAACACAAATGCATCAAATTGAATGCAGTTTTCACTAATGCATTGCTAGAGATGTAACTTAAAATATAGAAAGAAAAAAATTAAAGAGTTGCCACCTGTTTGATAATTGCAGTTTAAGTAAATTGATAAGATAAATTAAATATTGCAATATGGCTGTCAAAAGAAAGAGGTTCAAGAAGGCTTACATCCGAAAATATTTTTGTGGCGGTTGCCACATGTTTGAACATTTTCTTTTAACTCAATTGATAAGATAAATTAAATATTGCAATATAGGTATCAAACTGGAGAGGTTTAGAAAATTTTACTGTCGAAAATATTTTTTAGGAGGGTTGCCACCTTTTTGAAAATTTTTATTTAATTAAATTGATAAAATAAATGAAATATTACTATAAGGGTATCAAAGCCTGGTCGGAAATTTTGTTCATTTCTCACCCGAGTGCAATACAAATTTCTAATGAATCCGCAAGTTTAATTTAAAACCCTAGTAACTATTCGAAATGTTAGACAGAGTTATATGTGATCCGAGTTCCATATTTTTCATTTAAATCCGTGCAGCCGTTTCCGAGTGAAGAGAGGTCTCGCATGGTATCGGTTTTAATATCATCAAATTCCAAGTGACCCTGTACGGACAAAAAAGTTCTGACATCAAACATCTACAGGCCAAGGTCATTACTTCGACCTCTCAAATTTGAGCTTCGAAATAACGGTGCATTTTCAAACTAAAATCTTACATCTCTTTCGTCTAACATTGTGATAAATATTTCTATTAAATTATGAAATAAGTTGAATTTAATTTATCAAACACGTTGCCAACTCTCTTAAATAAAGGTCAGAAATAAAGCTGTTAAAACCTCATTTTCTTTTATATCCATCTTTTAGTAATTCATCTAACTTTCCAAATAATTTGAATGTAACTTTTTAAACAATGGAAACCCTTTTCAAACTTGTAAATGTTCAAACTAAAGATTTTGTCAACACTCTTTCGTTTTAGACACCCGTATTTTAATCTCATATAATTTATACATAAATTATTTAAATTAAACTTTTTAAACAGGTGGCAACCCTTTTCAAAATATTTTCAGGCTAAAGCCTTTTTAAATAACATTCGACTGATATTGTGATACATAATTCTAAACATTCTAATAAATTGATGAATTAAGTTTAATTTGATTTTTTTTTTAACATATGGCAACCCCCTAAGATTAGTGCAGAATTTTAATAATTCATTAAACTTATTAAAAAATTTGAATTTAACTTTTCAAACGGGTGGCAACCATCTCTAAACACATCAAAGGTATTCAATTTTTCAAACTAAAGATTTCTTAACACGCTTTTGTTTCGCATATTTTAATATTTCATTGTTTTTTGAATTCGACTTTTCAAACAGATGGCAACCCTCTTCAAAATATTCAGAAACTCTTACCACCAGTCAAAAAAAAAATTTTTCCGGTACACTGGGCTAATTTTGCCACAAACAAGAAAAACTTTTTCTCACATTTTTGTTTCCTCAAAAGTACCTATTTACGTATTGTTAGGTACCTAATAGCTTTTGCATTAAATGTGTAAAAATGTCTAGTAATTTCAGAATTCATTACAAAAAATTTAGTAAAAGGCGTTATTTAAAAAAATATACTATATGAATCGATCAAGGGAGATTACATTCACTTGTTTATATAGCATTTCGCTACGAAATTCTATGTGTTTTGTCTTTAATCAAACTTTTGTTTGGCGCCCATATCGCCACAAAGCAGCTGCAGGCTTCAGTAAGTTTAGTTGTCTCAACAAAGAAAAACACTTCAGCTACTTCAGCTTTCCCGCTGCAAGAGGTATTTTACGCGCATTCATTTATAACTAAAAGAATTCCAATGTCAATCCAATCAAAGGCTCATATAACAAATACCAATGTAGACAATAAAATACCGACGCACATAAACTTTAAACACACAAACGCATAACACACAGATGCATAGGTATGCTTAACAAAACTATGCCATACACTTTAGTTCCAACAAGAATGCGACATGAGCGATAGAGATAAAGGAAGAGTAGGGAGGGATGCGAGCTAAAATTCAGTCACGTCTTACGGGCAAATGTAAACTTTCAACTGAGCTGAAGTTACTACCCGTGGTGTATCAACTATCTTTACACTTTGTTTTTTTTTTTTTTTTGTTAAGTATTTCAACTTATTGAAACTAATATATGTACACACATACACACTAACTTCATATGTGATAGTTTAAATTCATAGTACGTAAGTTGGCTGCATTTGCCCACATTTCACATGACATTCCCAAACACGCTGCTTGCATTCCTTAACATTATTTCCAATTCTTTTCAGACTTTTACTTTAAGTGTGTGTGTGTGTGTGTATCTGTGTCAACAATACCATACTCTCTAACATATGCATTCTTTATTCTCTTTGCCTTTTTTTTTAATTTTCTTTGTCTGCCTTTGCAGTTTGCCAAACGGTCACATCAATATTATGGCCTTCGATCGAATGGCGGCCATTGTTGGCGCCTTCACCAAGCACATGCATGCCGTTAAGTCGCCGCACGAAGCACCACCTGGCGAATATAAGACATTCTGCCAGCACATGCAGCGCTCGTCGAAATTGAGCGAAACGGGTAAGTCTATTGATAAGCTTATAATACTTAAGTTATATATTGAAATTTGAAAAATGTACCGCAAGGAAATTGGTATTTTATCAGATTTAACAAGAAACCATTGGGGGGGGGGGGGGCAGGTATACTGCTCTGTAATCTGTAATGGAAAATTGTTTATTTTAATATTCAAATTCTTATTGTAATATGAATAGTGAACATATGTACATATTTAAAATAACATATTTTGGTATATAATACTTATAGCAGAGATACGGGTACGCCACTAAATTTTCAGTTTACACTACCAGCTGTTGATAGTGCAAAAGTTTAGCGGTAAACAATATATCCGCCTAAATAAACGATAGCGATAGTAAATGAAGAAATAGTCCACTAAAATGAGCAATCGAATAAAAACAAAAAAAAAAAAAAATTCTGCAAGAACGCTTAAAAACCCAAACCGAAAAGAGAACAAAATCTTCGTAAATGTTTCCTAAGAAGGAAAGTGAGAAGAAAAGTGTCGAGAACGTTCTCAACGGGAATTATTTCAGAACAGAATACTGTGATATGTTCCCAAAGAGCAAAAAAAAAATGCGAACAATACTTTCGGGAACGTTTCTAAGTGGACAAAATTGGAACAGAAGTATCCGGAACATTCTGGTAAAGAACATAATGGGAATAAAAGCCTATGGAACTTTCTCTAGAATAACCATTTGGGAACTAAAGTCTCAAGAACTTTCTGACAGAGAACGAACCGGAACAAATCTTCTATAAATTTTTCGCGAAGAATAGAAGCGAGTACCAAATTTTTAGCATTAGTTTGAAATGTTTGAATATTAGCATTAATCAAAAAAGTACTCAAAGATAATTACGCAAACTAATTCAACGAAAGGCTTAATGCACGAAATTTTCTTGCACAGGAAATTAAAAGTTGTTCCATAAATGCACAGTTACCCCTAACGATCAACGATCTGTATGTTGAAATGGTCCAGCTTTCCTCTAGCTTACAATTAACAATCATGCTTTCACTGAAACGAGTTTTCATCCCAACTTGCAGACGCCCGCCTCTCTCATTCCTAACATTAAGTTCTCAAAAGTATTTTCTCGTTCTTTTTTTCTTTAGCAGAAATTTCCCCAGACGGTTTGTTCTTATTTGACACTCCGCGAAAAAATTATCGATACTTTCGTTCCCATTGCGATCTTTTTGAGAACATTGCCGTGAGTTTTGTTCGCATTTTGTTCTTTACGGAAACGCTCCCGAACCTTTTATTCTCATTTTGTTCCGGTTTAGTTCTTTTGTACGAACGTTCTTGACATTACATTTTATTCTCATGCGGAAGTAAACCAAAACCGAAAAGCATTCTCAGTCCCTGATTATCTCTAACTACAGCGAAATTATCTCGAACTAGTCCCGAAATTGTCCTAATGTAGCCCTGAAGTGGTTCTAAAAAAGTGCTGAACTTGTGCTGAATGGTTCTCAGACAAGTCCTGAAACTGGTCCCGAACTAGGGCCAAAATGATCCTAAACTAGTCACGAAATCGGTTTGAAATGGTCCTGAGATAGTCTTTAGCAGGTCCCGAAGTGATCCAGAATTAGCTTCGAAATAGTAATGAAATAGTCTGAAACAGGCACGAAAGGGTCGAAAAAGCCTTTAAACGGTGTTACGAAATCGGCCCTAATTAGTCCCAAAAGGATCCCGAACTAGCATCGAAAATTTTCTAGAATAGTCCTGAACTACTCTCGAAATGATGGAAGTGTCATGTATAAGTGGTTGGGGCCAAGCAATGCCCAGTCTGAATCCTCTGTAGCTAAATGGTGAAGTGTTCTCCTACCTGATACTCTCGAGATTCCTTTATTATTTAGCGGAAACTTATATTACCGAACTTGTTTGGAAGTAGTTAGGGCTTTGCAATGCCTTGAGTGAAATTTTAATTGTTTCTGACAACGTAGTTCCTGGCCTTGAGGGTTGCCAATACCTCGTATTGAGCACCATGGCATGTTCCTTAAGAGATAAATGAAAATTATCCCCTTTGCCTTAAATTTTAGATATAAACCCCAGATTCTGTACATGTCAAGTTTGGAACCATAATTAAAGATTCTACAATGTGTAAACTCGCACCAAGTGCTGAAGTCAAAGGTCACACTCTTCTTTGGCATTAAGAAGACATTAACAACTTTATGTCTTGGAATGGAATAGGATGGTGGGTGGAAGAAGAACCCAATAACCATTTTTCAGAGCACTCTGTAAATATTTGCCCTTGCACGTAAGGTACTGAGAAGGGATTAAAGAGATAGGCAATGACATATGGGGTTGGAGTTCATTACTTTTTTGAATCTTCGCAGCTTGATGAGGGAACAGAGTTTTCGACATGGCTTTAGTGACCATATTTTGTTTCTATGAACTGTATCCCGTAGTCAGTCCTATCCGGCCTCCCATCTCACCCTGGCTGATCTCTTTAGGAAACACTTGACACTAGACCAACGGCTCCCATAAGTCCAATTGGATGATCCAACGGACCGCAGTATGAAAATTCATTAGCCAATGCATTGCTCTGAACACCTCAGACCCCGATACCCAGATAAGGAGTTCAGCCACAACTCACATTTTTGGGCTAATTTCGAAAGGATGCGAGCGGTTTCCAAAGTCTTTAGTGGAGCTTCACTGTCACTGCCGGCCCTGATTTTATGTCTACGTCAGCTTTCGCCATTTTTCTAGTCTGTTAATTTCAGTATTGCAAATATGTATTTTCAATTTATATACCGTTGTCATTGTAGCTAAAGCAACAAAGTTACCCTCCAAGGGCCATCCAGATGCTATCCTGTGCAGCTAAAATTTCGGTCTTGGAGCTCTTAAAAATTTGAAAAAAATGTAGCTCGAAAAAGACTTTCCAAAAATTTTGAAAAAATCTCGAGAGATCTTGCAAAATAAAATACGAAGGTAAAGTCAAAAAAATTCCAATAAACCAAAAAAAAAAACGTCCCAAAAATTCTCAAGGAATTTTCAAAAGTTCCGAAAAAACCACAGTCTCTAAAAAAAATAAAAATTTCGAAAAAATAAGAACGAAGATTTCCGAAAATTAAAAACAAAATCTGGGAAAAAAAGAAGAATCCCAAAAAGTCCCGAATAAACCGGAAATAATTACCAAAAACCAAAGGTACAGAACGGGGAGTCCCGAAAAATCTCAAAAAAATCCCTAAAAAGTTTTGAAAAATATTGAAGAAATCCATAGTCTCAAAAATCACAAAAGCAAAAGACTAAGAGTTCCGGAAAATTCATAAAAAGGTTCAGAAAAGTCCCGAAATAAATTCTACAAATCGCAAATAACCCTAAAAAGTCCTTAAAAAATCCATAGTCTCAAATAATCCCAAAACTTCCTAACAAAAAAACCGGGAATTACATACATCACGAAGAATCCCGAAATGTACCGAAAAACTCTGCATGCTCAGGAAAAAATTGACAAAAATTTTTTTAAATTCTGGAAATATGCCCAAAAATCAAAAAGTATTCCCATTTACTTTCCGTGACAAAAAAAAACATGAAAGGTAAAAAAACGGTGTATTTTCCCCTCAAAAAAAAAAACTCTGGTAAAGTTTGCTTTTTGGCCTTTAAGTATAAAAAGGAAAATATAATCGGTTTATTTTTCCCGAATAATACAAATCGGTTTAAGTTCAGGTTTTAAGTCACAATTCTCACATCTCTCAATGCATTTAATCCTCTCTCAGCTGCAGAACCGCTGGCAGCATAACCCTCTTTTGAAATTCCAGTTGACCCCTTTCGCTTGACGCTACCTTTCTCCACATTAAAGTGCATGCAAGCATTTAAAAAAAAAAAACGGAGCTTTAAGTTTAGTAAACGAAGTGAATTGTGTATAAAATGCCATTGTAAGCCATTTACTTGTTCATTGACTTAGCTGAACCGAACTAAACTGCATTGAGCTTTGTGAGCTGAACCGGACCGGGGAACTACTTACATACATACAAACATTGGTACATATGTATGTAACTTAGCGCAGCAGCTAAGCAATGAAGCGGCAAATAAACCTACTTACCGACACATAACAGGTTAAATACTCGTACATGCAAACATACATACATACATATGTAGTACAACCACACATATAAAGATACCTATATGCCCCCAGCGGCATACAGAAGCAGTGACTTAAAGCGCCAAACCAAGTGGAACCAGCTGAAGTGAACAAGCAGTCAACCGTCAAACCAGTGAGCGAATACAATTACTATACATACATACACACATACGTACGTCGAACTGAATGTACTACAACAACAAAAAATTGACCTCCACAGAAATTCCTTTTGTAGCAGCTAGCAACTAAAAACTACTCGTTGTGACCTCAGTTGGTTCAAGTCCATTGCGGGTGAGGGGGGTTAAAATTGCAAAAGTGTTGTGAGTTGTTTAGAAAATTTTAATTGGTCTTAACAGCAAATGGCTGACCAAAGGATATTATACACACGTACGCCTTTACTACATATACGAGTGTAAAATTCAATTTCAATACGCGTACAGCAGTAAAAAAAAGCCGGTTACACCAGTTAACAAAAGTTGAAATTGGATGGAACACTCTTGGATTTTAAAGAAATTTGTCTATCCTCTGAGCAGCATGGATCGATTAAATAGATTCCAACCCTGAAAGAGTGTATATGTGAATATTTACACCTCAATATTTTTTTTTTTGTGAATTATATTTTTTTACATTCTTTATCGAAAAAAGAAGACACCATTTTTTTTTGTCATAATATTCGGATATCTCGAAAAAAAACCGAAATTTTGAACTCAAGCGGAAGTATCTTTTTTCAATTGTTTGCAGTTAATAAACTTTAATAAACTTTTTGGAGGAGAAAATGAGTTAAGTTATCAAAATGTGCGTAATTACTTCGGCTTTTCACGGGAGTGTGAGATAGATTAAAATAAAAAAAAATTATTAATCCATCGATTTTCTTCATTAGTAGCTTGATTTTTGATAGTAAACTTCTTTGCTCTCGGTAATGGGTAAAATTTGCG